CAATATCTGCGCGCTGCATGCGCCCGGCCATCAAACCGCCCCGCCCACGAATCTCAATTGCATGTATCAGCAGCAGCAGGCGCAGGGCGCACTGATGACGCACTCGCGCAGCCTGGAGCATTATCAGGAGCCGCATACGGCGCTGCCACAGCGACACTCATTCGATCAGCATCCCAAAGATTGTGCGGCACTGCATCCACATGGACATTTGTATGAGGCGCCCTACGATTGCCTGGATGGCCTCAGCATGGGCAGCAGCGCCTCGTATGCGGCCGTTGCTGGCGCTTACAATGCGCCCGGCAATCGCTATCCGCTGCCCTACAACATCTCCAGTCAGCTGAATGCGCCCTATGCCACGCCCCTGGATGGTTACGGCCATGTGGAGCAGAATAATGCGAACATGTATGCCAGCATAGGCAACAGGCCGGCTACAGCGGTGCCCCACAGCTGTGGCTACCATGGCGGCCAGCTGGGCGCAACAACACGGCATCAGCCCAACAATGCCGCCGCACTGGCCGCCATGCAGCACAGGCAGAGCACATATCCGCCGGATCACCATCTAATTGATTTCGATGAGCGGGCCCAGCTCATGCAGCATGACTTCAACGATCCGCGTCCATACGAACGACGTGGCCAGCGTGCACAGACGGCCAAGCATGGCATGAGCAGCTCCATGTATGCCCAGCCTCGGGATGCCATGGCCATGGGCTATGCCGGCGGCTACGATGTGCCTGCCATGCTGCCAACAACCTTGCCGCAGCCGACGCCACAGGATATGTATGTCTATGCGCGACCTGTGCCTAAGAGCAGCCGCATTCGCGCTAAGCTCGAGACGGGCGACAAATCAACGGACAGGCAGCGAGAGCCAATGATGGTAAGTGACAAGCTGAAGGGTTCATGCGAGATTAACATATGTAAGGAATGTAGAAAACCGTTAAAAAGAGATATAATAGAAGCATGCATCGATCCAATAAAGTAGATAGATTCTTGATCAGGGCGACGAGCCGGCATGTTCAGCTGTCTGTCTAGGCGAGGGTGTCTTCTGGTCGGACACTTCCGACTAATGACTGCCTATTTGATTGTAACTTGCGTTTATTATTAGGATCCCCTGGATAATAATCGGAAATCGACGCACAAGGAATTGAGGGAACGGATTAGTCTGACCGCCGCCGGCGCAGCTGATGGCCGCCAGCATATGCGGGAGCGTGACCTGAACATCTCGGATGGCACCAGCTATGAGTCGGCCAGTCTGGATGATTTTACGGCGCTGAGCAGCGCATCGCCGCCGCTGATGCCCAAGGTGCAGGAGGGCGTTGGCAGTTTCGAGTCCTGGAACTATGTGTTCAAGAATCTGGAGCGTTCCGGCTACTCCAAGGATCTGGGCGATCGTGAAGATTTGCTGGTGCAAAGCTTGGATCTGGATTCACTTAATCTGGCCAATGGTGGTGCAGCTGCCGATAAACGGCGCGGCACCGAGACGCATACACAGCCCGCCGCTGTGGAAAAGTCGCGCACGCTGGACAAGAAACGTGAGCCGCGCATTGTGCAAGCGGCGCCACCAGCTCCAGCGCTCAACAGCAGCAGCCCGGGTGTGAAAAAGGTGAAATCCGCTCTAAAGACAGCCACCATAGACAACAGACCTGGCGGCGGCAGCGGTGGTGGTGCACGGAGTCGCGGCAGCACAACGGGCGCCGTGGCCAAACAGCCGCCGCCGGTGTCGACGCAGCTGATTGTGACCAGCCCGAACGAATGGAGCTGTCGTTTCTGCACGTTCCTGAATCCGGACACAAAGCGCATCTGCGAGATGTGCTGTCGCAGCAAGGACTTTAATCTGGAGGCGGCGGCAAATGTGTCGCACGCATCCTCCACCTGTGTCTAGACTATGTTAAATCCTGCACATGCTACAATATGAATTAAGTATATATTTACTATATGAAATATGAGAAACTGTACACCACGCAAGTGATAGAAGAAAACACACAGTATGAAAGGAGTTTTGGATATATACAACTAAACATATAGAACTTATATATTTTTTATACGAAATTCGTCATTACAACAAACTGTGTGCATGTTTATAGAAAGTTCTCTAGTCTTATAGCATCTACGATTTCAATCACAATCCCTAGCATTATGTACATACGAGACATACATACATACATACATACCTATTATAAGTAATATATTATTCATATTATGAATTACAATTTAAGTTTTCGATTAGACTTGTGTACACATGCTTTAATTAGATCGTAGATATGTTTCCATTTGTTGTGGGCGTCGCGTTTTTGTTGCAAATGATGTGCCTATACCTGATATAAGTCGCATGTATGTATGAATACTAACTATATAATATAAGTAATAACTGTATAGTTGTGTGTGCCTGCGAGTGTGCGTCTGTAAATAGTTTATTAAACCGAGTTACAAACAAAAATACAACAAAAAAAAGTATATATACATATATATTGGAAAGCCAAGTATATTTATTATGCGTATATATATATATATATACACACAATATATACATACATATATTTATTGTATGCTAGACTAACTTTTCATAATTACCTTTACTACATACAATATAATCAATTCAACTTGAACGAGCTAAACAAATGGGTAATACAAGTAGTACTGAACATGTTTTCACTTATATTTTATTAGCAGCTCCTTAGTACACATCAAGATTATGCAATAAGAGTGAGAGACAGCAACTATACATGCGTACATATAGTATATCCTCTATATATATATATATAGTGCCACACAATCTTTAGTTTTTGCCCACCATGCCACACCCAACGCCCAACGCTGAAAAAGTGAGAAATAAAAAAGCACTTAATTTGTTTGTTAATTGTTGCTAAACAAAAATGTTAAATGAAACCTTAAGCAAAATAAATAATATTTTTTTATGCAAAAAAGATTTAAAAAAAAAAAATATTGAAAGAAGGGAGGAAAATAATGTACCTTTTTGTGATTTATTTGATTTGTTGTTAATCTATTGCGCCCTGACATATAGAAGATATGTAGTTCAAATTGTATCAGTTGATATTAGCAAAAAACAAAAACAAAAAAAAATAAATAAATATATGAAGAAAAAAAAAACACAAACCAAAACAATCAAGAGTTAAAAAATTCGATTTTCAACTTTTCTAAAATACTAACTAAAAAAAAAAGTTACAAACAAATTAAATACAATTTATATTGCATATTCAAAAAAAAAAAAAAAAAAAACAAAATAAAACCAAAATAAATGAATTTATAGGCAAAACTCTTCCTAAAATCCCAGCAATAAATAAAAAAAACAACACTTTGAATTTTTGAAAAATAAAACTGAAAAAAAAAAATTATACAAAAAATTAAAAAAGAAAAAAAAAAACATAAAATCTTTGCATTGTGCATCAAAAGTTTTAATACTTATTTATGTAATTGAAAAGTCTCAAAAAATGTACAATTTTTTCCCATAGATTTTCCAGTTTTTCAAGTTTTAAATATTCCCAAAATTCTCTGTCAACTTTTATGAGGCTGCTGTTATTGCAGCTGTTGCTGGCCCTGCTCCAGCTTGCCAGCGGCTACAATTATTGCCGCAATGAGAGCCATTTGTGCAACATGGCCAATAGGCGGCATTTTATATGCAATGCGGCCACTGAGCTGGTAATTATGAACTTTTAATGGTAATATTATTATAAGAAATTAATTGTAACTCTTCTGTGCGCCCAGCATCCACTTTTTTACAGGGCCAAATTTTTGGCTATCGTTCCGGACACGTTGCCATTCCGCAAGCTCATTTTAGACTATCACAATAAGTATCGGAATATGGCGGCTGGTGGCCAGTTGGTTACGGATGGCAATGAAACCTTTCCGGCCGCCTCACGCATGCGTGAGCTTATCTGGGATCTGGAGCTGGCGTATATGGCGCGCGTGCATGCCTCCACGGTGTCCTTCAAGCACACGATGTGCCGCTCCGTTGTGCGTTTTCCGCATGCCGGTGAAAATCTGAGCATGGTTCTTGCCAAAAAGAAACGTTTCTCAGTCAAAGAGTTGCTGGACTTGGCGCTGTTCCCCATGTTCGACGAATATAGAACTGTTCGTGATCCCGTTGATCTGCTCAAAGATTTCGACTCAAACAGGTGAGCACCTAAACGTGATTCCACAATGCTTAAGCATAGTCACATTAAGCGATTGTATGTATTTCCCTTTTTCTCTTTCAGCCACCATCTTGTGGGCCACTTTACGCTGATGGTGAACGATCGAGTCTCTAGGCTAGGCTGCGCCTTTGCCATAGCCACAAATTGTGATAAGAATAACACTGATGAGTATGTAATATATATTTCTAATGTCACATCACAAATCGTATACTCATTGATTTAAAATTCTGGAACAGCTATTGTCACTTTATGACCTGCCATTACGATTTTATCAATATGGAGGGTTCGTATACTTATCAAATTGGCAATGCGGCCAGCAATTGCGGCATCTGGGGCGCCTGGCCTAGCTCCAGGTATCGCAACCTGTGCACCAATAGTGGCGAAATATTTCCCAAGGATCATGGTGATAAGGACAGCAAGCTCCACAATGTGGAGTAATATTTATATATTGTTTAGTATATTTTCTTGTTTATTTTCTATTTTATTATTCAAAATCGAAATATTTTCAGATATTCTGGCATCCCCCTGACCAAGTTGGAGGAATGTGTAAAATGATTGTAATCATGTTTAAATTGTTTTTTATAATATATTTTTGAATCTTTAATTTCGTCTAGTTCGATTGATACATAAGCAAAATATTTACTAATTAATATCAACTAACGGCTAACAGACTTAGTCATTCTTTCTTTTTTTTTTTTCGTTTTCTTCCGTTTTTTAATATTTATTTACGAGTATATAAACAAATACCTTTTGAGTTATATGTATTACCCCATATATACCATATATATATATATATATATATATATATATATAGGGGTTCGATCTCTGCGCGATTAATGCAAGTACAATTGGTTTTTAGTGTTGATTTTAGATTGTGAGTTTATTTGCCTCGTTGGCGAATGAAACCCGCTTGCTTAGATAGTACGGAACATAGTTAAGGTGCCTGGGATTTGGATTCTAAATGCCTTTGCTCTGTGACTCGCAGCTTTAACAAAATCAATAATATATATGTGTGTATATAGCGAAATATGATGAAATCCATTTGGAAAATACCGAGACCATACAAAATATCAGACTAAATATTTGCGCTTCGTTTTAAAAATATCAGCATATTTGTAATAAAAGTTAACTTTGTTTCGCCTCGATAAGGCTAGAATTGTAGTATTAACATTTTTGGTATCCATAATTCTGTTAAATATATGACTCCATACTTTGCCCGGCACAAAAGTGCCAACTGTTCGCATCGTTGTTTTGCTTAGACTACTTTTAGATTTTTCTCGATCAGAATAATAATAATAATAATTGTGTGTGGGGTACGTATAATGCCTATATTCTAGGGCACGGGAATGCCTCCTGCACTTGTCTATTTTGCGTTTCTAACGTTTTGCCAGCTACACATAATTCTTCATATAGAAAAATACTTACAAACTTCTCTTTTTTCTTTTCTAGAAAGCCGCCTCTACTTTATAATTTGACCATTTCGATAAACTTCTGACAAGCTCGGATATTGTAGGGGATGTCATGGGGCTTACAACTACTGCAGTTAAAGGTCTTTGACATTTTATCAAAAGTGCCGCAAATCAAATATATATTTGTTTTGAATGGTTGCAGACTTTGCATAAATTTTGGTTCTAAAATGGAACACATTTAAGGATATTCTTGCAAGGTGGGTTTTGAAATGTTCTTTTTTTTTCCTAATCAATTCGCAAATCGTGTTTAATCCTTTGAAAGAAAATGCATTTAGTTAAAGTTCTGAATCAAAAACTTCTCGAAAAAAAGTTGACCAATACTTTTCAATGGCAAAAATATGGTATTACGAATTTTTCATATAATTTTCAAAGTCTACGTTTGTTGGCTATACATAAATAATTTCATTTGCCTCATTGTTTTATCCAGTATAATTGATTATTTCAGCCTAATTCGCATAGGCTACACGGTGCAACATTATTCCTACTTCATTTTGTGCAAACAGCTTGCGCAAACAGCTTGTGCAAATAACGTCAATTTAATGCCAAACATATTCTGTTGCGTACACTAAGCTTGCTCTTCATTTGGCTTTTCTAGTTAAACAATTTGCATTTACATATAACATTTGTTCAGCAATCTCTTCATATGCAAAAACCAAAAAAAAAAAAAATATATATATATATAAAACGAGTATCCTTTACAATATCTGACAGCCAGAACCGTGCATTACCTCGCTGATGAACATGGGCGTGCCAGCTCCCAATCCGCCATCTGTTTTCTGATGTTCGTTCTGCAAAAGAAAAATAAAAATGATAAGGATCATAACAAAAAACGAATCGTTTCGTGGTCAACAACTTTTTTTTAGCCATCGATGTTTAATTTGTTTAAATGCCAAATCCATGAGTTCAACGCGGAATCGGGAAATAATTGGCCAAAGTTATATGCATCTGCGCAATTGAATAGAGGAGCAGCATCTTTAAGAATTTCTGTATACATGTACAAATGCTTCGCATTTTAACAGCATGGTTATTGCGACTTTTTTCTGTAATGCTATTAAAGTTCCTTTTTTATCAGAAGTGCTTAATTCAAAATTTTGACCCAAATCGACAAAATGGCAAGGGGTTACATCAAATTTTTTTTCAAAATCGAGGTCGGTGCGAAAATCGAAACTTTTTCGATGATTTTTTTTTTTCGCGCGGAGATATGACGTTCCAAAACGACATAACTCCAATGGGAGATATGACCTTCCAAACCATCACGATTTTCTTTAAAATCGAGCTCGGTGCGAAAATCGAAACTTTTTCGATGAAACTTTTTCGCGGAGATATGACGTTCCAAAACGACATAACTCCACTGGGGGATATGACCTTCCAAACCATCACCAACATTAAATCGAGGTAGGTGCGAAAATCGAAACTTTTTCGATGATTTTTTTTTAATATAAATGTTATACCATTTTGAATGCGTACGGATCCCTACCATCAATTGGCTTCAAGCAAATTAAACATCGTTTTTTTTTAAAAAAATGTAGACAAAAAACAGTTTCGTTCGTAAATTCAACCTTTTTGATGATTTTTTGGAAAATTCCCGTCAAATAATGTCCGATTTTGTAATTTTATAAAATTTGTGCTTGTAAGGATCAGTTCTATCGACTGGCATCAAAAAAAGGAAATCCAATATTTTGACCCAAATCGACAAAATGGCAAAGGCATCATGTTTTTTTTTCAAAATCGAGGTCGGTGCGAAAATCGAAACTTTTTAGATGGGATATGACGTTCCAAAACGACATAACTCCGCGCGGAGATATGACGTTCCAAAACGACATAACTCCGCGCGGAGATATGACGTTCCAAAACGACATAACTCCGCGCGGAGATATGACGTTCCAAAACGACATAACTCCGCGCGGAGATATGACGTTCCAAAACGACATAACTCTGCGCGGAGATATTACGTTCCAAAACGACATAACTCCGCGCGGAGATATGACGTTCAAAAACGACATAACTCCGCGTGGAGATATGACGTTCCAAAACGACATAACTCCGCGTGGAGATATGACGTTCCAAAACGACATAGCTCCGCGTGGAGATATGACGTTCCAAAACGACATAACTCCGCGTGGAGATATGACGTTCCAAAACGACATAACACCGCGCGGAGATATGACGTTCCAAAACGACATAACTCCGCGCGGAGATATGACGTTCCAAAACGACATAACTCCGCGCGGAGATATGACGTTCCAAATCGACATAACTCCGCGTGGAGATATGACGTTCCAAAACGACATAACTCCGCGTGGAGATATGACGTTCCAAAACGACATAACTCCGCGTGGAGATATGACGTTCCAAAACGACATAGCTCCTCGTGGAGATATGACGTTCCAAAACGACATAACTCCGCGTGGAGATATGACGTTCCAAAACGACATAACTCCGCGTGGAGATATGACGTTCCAAAACGACATAACTCCGCGCGGAGATATGACGTTCCAAAACGACATAACTCCGCGTGGAGATATGACGTTCCAAAACGACATAACTTCGCGCGGAGATATGACGTTCCAAAACGACATAACACCGCGCGGAGATATGACGTTCCAAAACGACATAACTCCGCGCGGAGATATGACGTTCCAAAACGACATAACTCCGCGTGGAGATATGACGTTCCAAAACGACATAGCTTCGCGCGGAGATATGACGTTCCAAAACGACATAACTCCGCGTGGAGTGCCTCTTACTTGTTGTGTTTTATTTTTGTGACATGTCTACCCAAACCCAGGAAAATTGACAAGCAAATCCAATGGTTCCTAGATGACCCATTTATCCTTGGCTTTATTCTACCAAAGATAACGTCCTAATGAACCTAAATTGACCGATAAAGTCAAAAAATATGAATGCTTTTTCTTTCAGCCATCATCATCGCCTAGCGATACGGTACCTAGTGGACCCACATATATTCTTGGTCGTACCATACCATTGATATAGTCCTGGCGAACCTAGAGGACCGAATCCGTGCAAAATGCGCACGGAAACGGTCCACAAATATGTATGATATTTTGCTTTCAGTACATAGTTGCAGCTTAACAGAATTTCGTGGCTGCTGCTAAAAAGCGACAGTAAAAGTATGCCATTAAAATTTGCGATCGTTGGTTTAACAGAGGACTGTTAAGAATATTATTGCAGCCCATGGGTATGCAATGCAAATTTTTATTAAAAAAAAATTAGTTCGTCTGCCTGCTGGGCATTTCTGTTCGCCTGGTACTTCAGCCGAATTTTCGTTGAAATTTTGGCACCCGCTCGCTGTCGACCGAGCGCCCCGTTTGGGTATGCAATGAATTTGTTCATTCACGAAAAATTTTAGTTCGTCTACCTGCTGGCCATTTCTGTTCGCCTGGTATTTTTGCTAAATTTTCGTTCAGATCGAACGCCCCCCTTTTTAACAGTGGCATGTTAATTAACAGCGGCAACTGCTGGTTAACAGTGGACTTTTATTTAACAGCTGCTAATTAACAGTGGACTGTTAAATGAAATTTTTTCGTGCATCTACCTGCTGGGCATTTCTGTTCGCCTGGTACTTCAGCTGAATTTTGCGTTGCTTTGCCCGGCTGGGCCCAGGGCAATGGGGATTTTACGATCGTTAATTTTTAAACCTTAATTTAAATGTGGATAGCGCTTTTAAGCGAATTTTGTTAGGATTTGGAACTATAGGTTCCCCAGGACTCTATCAATGATATCTTATTGATCAAGGATATTATGGGTCATCTAGGAACCAAAAGAGTGGTGCGCGGCTGAAAGAAAAGATGCATATTCATATTTCTAGACCATTTACGAGCAAATTTTGCACGAATTTTGATATTTAGGTTCACCAGGACTATATCAATGGTATGGTTAAACCAAGGATATACCGGGCATCTAGGAACCATAAAGGGATAAGGGGTGGACTTCAAAATAACAGCATACACACATATTTTTGAATGTAGGTTCAATAGGACTATATCAATGGTATCGTATTGACCAAGGATATTATGGGTCGTGTAGAAAACGGCTTTGATTTTCTGTTCGGCCACGGACGTGCCTGATTTTTAAGATATTTGATTAAATGGCTACGTGTCAAATATATAAAGTCCTTTCCAGAGAAGGTAAGGATTTTAAAATTCTAAAATACATTTTTGGCAATAAAGCTCAATAATTAAATAATAATTAAATGATTATAGATCATTATTATGAAACAGCCGAAGGAAATATAGTTTCTCCTTGGAGTATGCATATGTTAAGGTTTGATCTGTTGTGTTCAATGCTTACATCATCGTAATCGCAATCGAAATAATGGCTCTGACAGTCCATGCATCGGCAGCTTTCGGACATTTTGCACGTAATGCCCCACTGCTTTGCCAGATCCTTGTAGATCTCCTTGGAGGTCTTGTTGCTCATCATTTCCGGCGTGAGCAGGCAGCTCTGCTCCTGCTGTTGCTGTTGTTGCTGCTGCTGTCGACGTCCACGACGGCTTCTCGAGGAAACTGAAGTGGAGCCAGAGCCTGATGCACAGCAGGCCTCGTTGCAAGATTGTGCACTGCTGTTGCCCGATGCGGCGCCATTGGAGCAGCCAGCTGGACGTGGAAAGAGCGTAAGATTTGTGCAAATGCAATGGGATTCGGACTTACGCTCGCTGCCATAGCGATTTAGCAGCGGATCATAGAAATTGTGTCGTGCCGCGTTGCTGGTGCTTGGCTCCTCGCCATCCTCCTCGGATTCCATGCCAAGGTGGCCGCTACCGCAGGCGGCCTGCTCGCCACACTCTGTGCATTCGGCATCCGTGCACGGCTGTTGGCCCTCGCTGGCATCGCTGCAGGCGGCATAGAGATTATCCTTATTGGCACGTGAAGCAGCCATTTCGGTTTCCAATAGAAACTCGTTGACGCTCAGCGTGCACTCCTCGTTCTCGCTGTGCTCCAGATCCAGCTCGGTGACGCCCTCGATGATGTGCGGGTGGATCTGCTGCTCCCGTTGCTCCAGTTGTTCGCCGTCGTTGTTGTTGTTGCTGCGGTTGTTATTGTTGTTGCTGTTGTTGTTGTTGTTCCGGCTGCCACAGTTGCCGCTGTTGTTGTAGTTCTGCTGGCAATCCGGATCGTTGCAAATGTCGTTGCTGTCGCTGTCGCTGTTGCTGTTGCTATTGCTGCTGTCATTTAGGGTCAGCTGCTCCAGGGCGGCGCTCAGATGAGCAGCGCTCTGCCGCGAGCTATTCGCCGAGCTGCGTCGACTGTTCTGATTGGGCGTAGCACTGTTCTCCGACGACAGCTGCCGTTGATGCTGCGAGAGGCGCGTGTTCTGTGTGTATGTGTTAAATCTAATCAGTATCTGTCTTGGCATGGCCATCAACCATTCCAGTTACCTCTTCTAGCACATACTCATAGGTGGGTGGCGGTGTGGTAGGCACCTTGTTGCTATCCGTTGCCGTTGCCGTTTCGCTGATGCACGGTGTGCGACTCGGGTTGACATAGCCTGCAAGATAATCTCGAGTTTAGAAAAAAACTAGCATACAAATTGCTTTAAATTTCTTATTGATTTTGTTGCTTTGGTCGGGGAGTTGAGGGCGGTTCTCATGCAAATTTTGAGCCCTGCATACACTCAAAATATATGTATTTCTTACCCTGGAAGCAGGTGCAAATAATGTGGAGCGATCAAAGAAAAAACACGTTTGTAAAATATAAAGGTAAGACGTTGGCTTTTTTTATAATTCATGGCCGATTCAAGAATTGAATCCTGCACTCTTCCTCTTATTGAAATATCGATATCGTCACTGATATCGATACTTCAGACATCTTGCACTGGGTTGCTTATCATCTTATTATATAATATGGTTACACTGATTAAATTCAAATTCACATTCAAATGGTTGTCGATCTTACACGTTAAAGCGGCCTAGAGATTTGTAAGATTTCCAAAAGTGGGGTTTAGAATAAGGAATCGGCTATATAATTCACTGTAGCCAGATCAGAGGATATGAAATAAATGAAAAAAACGCAACCGTGAAAATGAAACAAATTAATTGAAATTGAAATAGAGTTCGCTAATTAAGGCCTTGGCAACTGAAGCTAAGATATAGAGCAAATGTATAACTCTGTGTATTGTTTCTTTTTTCCAATATATCAATTCAAATAGAGCTTAAAACACGGATCACTCTGAGTGTAAGCAGGGCTTAATTGTGCTTGAAGGGGCCATGCATTGTGCATTTGCAAACTAACAAAATAAACCAAATTGTCAAGTAAATAATAAACGCTTCATTGCATTAATAAGCATCCAAAATAATGCAGCATGCTGTTAAATCACATTTAAGAAAAATGGGGGAGTAAGGGAGTGTGTTTGTATGAAGATTGAGTAGTTTTGGTATTTTTTAGCCTGTTCTTACCCATACGTAAACTGTTGGAATTATTGCCAGCTTTACTTGGATTCGGAGGCAGCAGCAGCTTCCGTTCGCTCATTGAACCGACACTGTTGCAATCAACTGAATCAATTGTGGAACTACTGGCACCAACTGCCTGATGTTGTTGTTGTTGTTGGTGGTGCTGCTGCTGCTGCTGATTTAGTTCCTGTTCCTGTTGCTGTGTGCCCAATAGCGCCTCGTTCACTGTCGGATCCGGATCATGCTCTTGCGATGTACTCGTGCTTCGCGAGCTGCCCATGCGAAATTTGAGTTTAAATGGCGCCATTTCGCTTAAGTCTTATCAGCTTTTAATTCTGAGTAATCCAATTGCTAATGCAACGGTAAGTATGGGCTTTTTCTGAGTTAGCTTTTTAAATGAGCATTGGTCGGCGATGGGATTTTTTTTTTATTTCGATATCAAGTTGAACAACACTGATGCAAAGAGAGTGATCAAAGGATACAGGAAGAGAGAGCGAGAGAGAGAGAGAGAGAGAGAAAGAGAGAAAGATATATAAGTAGAGCGTTTAAGAAGAGCGATAGATTAAGTTAAAAATTACAATAGATTTTTATATGTATGTAGTTATCACATCAATTACAGGTAAGAATTAAACTCATAAAATTACAGCGTAGATCTCAAATTATTTGGAATTTATATTATCAATTTTAATACGTTCGACTTTTACTTAGATTTATGTCTTTGAGTTGCATGCAAATTTAAAAAAAGTAAAATAAATATACAAATTTTTGTGTGTTCATTAAATTATTGTATTTTACCTGCAAGCCGCAAAAGAGACCCAAGCAGAGCTGCAATTAATTAATATCAAATAGATAAATATTAACTTATATATTAACTTATTGCACACGCTTTTCAATTTAATTATGGCTTAGCTGCTTTTAATTAATCAATTTGTTAAGGTTTTTCGTGCGGCAAAATCGGCGATGATTAATGTGCATTGCTGTTGCAAATACGCAAATTGACAGGCCAAACAAAAAACAGACATATGTACACCCACATGTGGCACTCGTGTCAGCAGCTGCTGCCTCGCGCTGCTCATTATATGTGGCACGTGCCACATTGCTCATACGCCCCGTGCAACTGGCACATGTGTTTATGTTTATTAATTGCTTGCGTTTGGGCCAACTGCCTTTTGCCTTAAAACAGCGCACACTACATGTCCTTGCCTACACACACACACACACACACACACACACACACACACACACACACACACACACACACACACACACACACACTCATACGCACACCTGATTATGTTTATAGTTTTTTTTAGTGCGCGACAAGTTGTAGCCAAATTTGGCACGCGCCCGCTTGGCTTTTCAAAAGTGGGCCAACACCCACCCGCCCACTCGCCGCTCGGCATATGCCTTATTGTCATGCAGATTACACAAAAGCCACTTAACGCTTAGAGCGTTCATCTGCTGCTGTTCTATGTGCACCTGGTTATTATTATGCAGAAAGAAAAAGACAAAACTCATTTCCTTTGCGGTGAGTTGCAAATTGGTCTCTAGCCCCAGGCAGTTGCCACGCAGCAGCTATCTGCCTGGAACTCATCTTGATGCTGGCCTTTAAAACAGAGCAGCTTAAAGGGTGCGCCCGAATAAATCTACTCGAGCTCTTTCTACAGTAATCGCCAGGTGTACCACGTTTGCACAGGGAGAGTTTTTTGAAACAAAAAAAAGTAATATTTGCCTGCCATCATAATCTAATTGGTATTGACATAACAAATACTCGAGCACACACACCTAAATAATATATATTTATTTATCCTAACACTTTTTGATTGCAGGTGAACTCTGAACTGTTTGTATATGCAAAAATATATGTGAGGTGCTTCAAAAATAAAACAATATGACAACTGGCTTGTATTAAAGGGGAATTAATCTGGGTAAGCAAATCAATTGGAATTGTATTGAATCCAACTAAACGTCATCTGATTGGCAACGCGCGCGGGACATTTCTTAGAGGGAATTTTTATTTAAAATACAAATGACAATAGTAAATTGTACGGCATGCCTTAGGGCATATCAGGGATCACTAGGATCCACCCAATTGCATCTAAGGATTCAGGAATCTGTATATAAACTAACTCAATCGACCTACGTTAAGACATTGTTTAGGAAACCAGGACAAAAACATCAACCAGTTGAGTCGCAAGCCCGTCGGCTTGCTTGCAAAGAATATGTGCAGTAAGTCACAATCCATTCTGGAGCCTGTCATGCGGCAGGACATAAGAGCGCAACGTAAGCCCAAGCTTTGGGGTGCTGGGCCAGAGTCCTGGCACGTCAGCCTGCTGGGATTTGAGTTAATAAATGATTCGTCTGTGCAGCTATGCTGCAGTTCAGTTGTTTTTTCAGTGTCAAGTCAATTGAAATGGATGAGTACCATAAACAGGATATCAACAGATAGATAGATATATACATATATCGGTTAAGTGCCGTAAGCAACCTGACCTGACCCTGAGTTTATAGAGTAGCTGCTTTTGGTGTGACATGTCGACATGACTCTGCCACCTGGTACTTTGACTTGCCACGACGTTTGCCTTGGGCTCTGACTTTACATCTCGCTCCCGCTCTGTGGTATAATCTATTAATACCCCCAAACTAGGTCACAGTTTCAATTCGCTGCATTTGACAGCCTAATAAAACATACATGCACTCGTATAACAACCTACACTCAACTGAATTTTCAATGAACGTATGCCTATCCAAACGGAAAACATGATTTTCACTTCAAGTGCATTTTCTTTTGTTACTCAAAATGTAAATGCAATGCATAAGAAAATGTGTTTAATAGTCAATGTTGGATATAAAGGTGGTTGTCCAAAAAATTAATAAAATATTTTTAATCTTTAAAGATAGTTTTTTTTTTATAGAGGAATAGAAAGGAAAGAAGTTCAATTCAAGTTTAAAAATATATTTGAAAAAGTGAGGAAATTTCTGTTTTTACTAAGAGTTTTTCTCGGATATAGTGTCGCTCATTTAAAAAATAATTATTTAAAAGAAAAAAAAGCCCTCTGCCAAGAAAATTTGCATTGCTCATAAATATAAAAGCCTAAGATGTTTCAAAAGCGGGGAGATGTTTTTAAGTACAGCTCATAAAATCAAAATGATATTTTTTTTTTCATAAAAAACACGAGCAAATAAATTGAGGCAACTGTTGCATGCAATCAAATTGATGGTCTTTGCATATTTTAAATGAAATGGCGGCAATATTTGCGGGCACCTTAAAGGCCAACTAAGAAAACTAAGGGACTGGCCGGGCAGCTCTGAAAATGATACATAGTACGGGAATTTCATTGTTCTTTTGCCTCGGATATCATGCGGCTCCATTAAGCAAATAGACAAACAAGTGTCCTGCGCGGACATGTGGCAGAAGTTCATGTCGAATGATGATGGAACGTTTCAGTTGCGGCATGGCGTCATCCGCAGCGGGAGTGGGAGCAACGGGCAACGGGCGGTTGGGGCGGTACAGGACAGAAGAGCACACACGTACTGGAGGGAAATTAACGCAGCGCTGTAGGGGAAACCGCAACGAGGCGGCGAACAAACAAATAATTTAATACGTCGGGTGTAGATGCCACATGGGATGGGCACCGTTCCCTAGTAAACTGATATCTAATTGAGTAAACATACAGTGAATGGCCATGAATTAGCCAGGGACGCCAGTCAATTCTCTGATAAATACAAACGTATATATGTATGTATATATATCGTATATATATGTATGCAGCCTTGCAGCATTCACATATCTCGGGGTCCCGTGGGTTCGTTTTTATTGTCTTCGATTTAAGAGCGGTATGAAAAATCGAAAGGCACACACACACACACAGACACAGACACACATACACAGGCACACACATGACACAACCTTGAAGTGAATGCATTTGCTCTGCAAAAGTGTGTACTTACCTCGTGTGCGTGGGCAGAAACGTTGACTGCGAATATATGTAGTATTTTTTTTTTTATGTGCAAACAATTAACTAAGTTGTTTTTAGTGTGCCAACTGATTATAAACAAATTGGTGTTATTCACAATACTGTTTAATTGATGTTGCGTATTTAATGTTTTTTTTTCTTTCTCAACTGTTTCAACTCACTTGAATTCTGTCACAGACTGTGGAAAGTTTTGTTGGGACACAAGCTTTTTATTATCCTGTCTCTCATGTTTGCCAAGCTTTCCGTTTTTGATGAGCTTGACGAAAGCACGGCGCACGCGTCCTGTAAGCTTCCGGCTTTTCTGGCCCAATGTTTTGCTTCGTTTCATGTTTTGCGCTTTGAATCCTTGCGCTCCCTGCTTTGGCTGCCAAATTCGCGTGAATGAAAAAATTAACTCAACTATTCTAATATTCTAAAGAATGGAATGATTCTACTCAATATCATATACTATTTTCAATACTTACATCTATCGAAAGTCCTCCAACAAATCTTTTTCTTTTTAGAATTTTACCCGTCGTGACAATAGAACTCTTAATAAATCGCCTATAATAGGCCCTTAGGGTTGTACATGAATGAAGAATGATTAGTAATATCTCCGTTTTGTCACGTTTTATGGTCGAATATTTTGTCTATCGCTTTACAATGCTCTTTCGTTTGACAGTTCAGTTCATACGCTACCAAAAACGTTCACAATTATAGAGCAGTTAAAGTGAATTTTGAAATTAACGTTTTTTTTGTTACTATGTAACAGACCTGTCTAAATTAGCTCATTGGCTTATTTGGTATTTTTTATTCGCACTGGTGTGTACACACTTTTGCAGCTGGCAGTTTTTGCGGGAAATAGTAAACAAAATTAAATGAATCTCAATGTCAGCAGCAGTTTTGGATTTACGTGCAGGGTAAATTAACAATATGCGCATAGTTATATTTAATATAATTTGATCTGTTCTCTTTTAAAGCTGCTACAAAAACACTGCGAAACCCGACAGACGAACCAACGAGCCGCCCGGGATCTTGACGACTTGCTGAAATGCTTAAATGCAAAGGAAAAGGTAAGTATTTGGCTTGCATAGTTTAAATACTTGAATTATTATCAAATTTTGATCCAAGCAGCTTTTGCTGGCCAAATACTTCTGCCAATTGCCATTGAGCGTTGGCAGCTTTCGAGTGCTGGGCCAGCTGCAACAGCTTAGAGTACTGACAGCCACGGAATACATATGCAGGTAACAAATGGGAAATAGAGATCGACAAATATTTATGTATATCATCTAATCAACGACACTTTGACAGTATAGAGAATGAAGAGCAGTTGCAGTTAATATTAATTGAGTTTCTACAAAATGAATATAAGCTGCTGTCTAATCTATTCATTTCGGCTCATTATGGTAAGTGATTTGGACTTTCAATTCTGTATGTAAATAGAGTACATTCAGGTTTTGCTTTTAGATTCTGTAAACATGCTAAGACTGAACAATATACTCGAAAATGCTTTGAGGAATCTCTTTAGCGCACTGGCTGAAAATCCAAAGATTGGAAACTTAAACTATGTGGAGCATTTGTGTAAATTTTTACCTGGTAGGTGGGCTCTATGTAAAGTACTGCATTTCTTCTAGATGACTGACAATTGTCCTTATAGATGATGTATTGGTCAATGTGTGCATGCAAATGCATTTGAACATACTGTTGGAATTGCATGAGGCTGCCGATGTCAGTCTGGCATTTCAACACTTTAGCGCTTGGATTAATGAGGGTGTCGATGAACTAATCTTTGTCAAACACATCACAGGAAAAGTAAATATATAATATATGTTTAGATTAGTGTCATCTTTTTAACAAACCTTTATATAGCTCTTTGGCAGCCATCAACAGGAAGCGTTGTCCCATCTATTTAAACTATCTACCTCCTCGAATTTTAAACATTGGAAATTTTATATAATTTTACTGCAGTCCATGGCCAGCAGCGGAAATGCAGACACAATTGCATTTATTAAAAGTATGCGGGTTGGCTGCCTGCAATAAAATTATATTGATATGATTATCATTTTCACAGAGTACCTCAAGAACCGTGTGCTACAAGTGGCTAGTTTGGGGTGTCAGCTCTCCTTGTTGCATCTACTACTGACGGCACGGGCTGCTGCAGCTACAACCATGAATATACAACAGAATTTGGATAACTATGCTCAGTGGTACAAGCAAAACATTGGCGAAATGACCTATGTGCTGAGCAGTGAGCAATTTCAAGTAATTTTAAATATTTTAGAAGACTCCATACATTACGAACAAGAAATTGATTATGTTGAGGTAAGCGTTAAGCGCGGCTAACTTGTAAATACATACTAATGGGGTTCTTGTTCCACAGATTCATGCAGCGATTGCCATTTCGCCTGGTGGCAAACTCGTGCAGTCCTACAAAACCAAATGCAAAGCGCATTTGGCACGTTTAAAAGCTGCGAACAAGCAAAAAGATGTTAAATAATTCTAGATAGTATATATACATATATATTTAAGCACATTTCACAAACAATAAAGTATTATATTTACAGTTTTGTAGAACGTCCTTTGCCCGCCAGCGGTTTATTACGCTCATCCCAAAGCGTTACACCGTCGCAGGCGCAAATTCTCTTAAAGTTCTGCAAAATGCCAGCCGAGCGGGCAATTATGCCGCAGGCAATTCTAAAAAGAAGTCAAAAATTATATAACGCATAACTTAGCAAATATACACTTACCTGTCACCGGAATTGCCATCGATTAGACTTTGCGAGTTGCCACCGCGTCCCATGTCATCCGCATTGGCTGTTATGACAACAGCTCGTCCAATTATGTCCCAAATTTCCAGGGCAGGATCAACGAAACGGAATGTGGCACGGCCAGTTTCGTCGGCACGTATGTTACCCAAGTCGCCGGCATGTCGCTTAGCTGTGCCTGCGTCTGGGCTACCGTGTGGCGAATTACGCGGATTATAATGGTCTCCAACTGATGCACAGCCTTTGGACACATCGCCGCTTTCGTGTATGTGAAAGCCGTGGAGTCCCGGCGCTAATCCATCCACCACTCCATCAACAACTACGCCAGCCTGCTGTGCAGCAATTGTGCTGAAACGCACTGCGCCCTGTACGGGAGTCCGGTCAACGACACAGCCGGTTGTATTGATAAGCGCCACCGCTGATTGTCCTCCAAAGCCGGAGAGAACAGCCCGGCGACCGGTGCTTTCGATTTTGTCCTGAACTTCCGACCATGGCACTGTTGTCTGCACAATCACGCGTCCCTCGGCCGGATCAATGTCAACTTGACCCATGCCCTCCAGAGCACGCCGCAGGCTGTCTACGCACGATTTGTCGTGTTTGTGCATTTGCACTGCAAACTCAATCTAGATGGTGATGTTACTTAGTGTTAAATTCGCCTATTTTACAATGTATTTTACCTTAGTTGAGTCCATTGCGTTGTTTATAAGAAGTCAACCAAAAAACACAAATAATGGTTGATTAACTATCGATAAACATACATAGATGGATGCAAAAGCGATAAATACTATCGATATTCGGATTTGGCGGTTACCTCGAATTCGACTTACAGTTTATATCGATATATAATTTTATCAACTTATTTTTGAAAACGAATTTACCAGGCGTAGGCACATTAATATATCTAAATAGTTTAAAATGCTTAAATCAATTAAATACTTATATTATTTAAAGTATACAAATAGACTTCTTGGTATTCAGTATTTATGAAATGATTTGTGTAAAGTTTAAATTATCACTTTTATTGCAATTTTGCAACATAAATGTATCAGCCTAGGCAAGAACAAAGTAAAATAAATAAATTTTCCTTAATTAATTTATTGCACCTTAAATTTATATATATATATGTACAATTATCGAAACCCTACGGTCTAATACTTAGGTATACTTTATAAAATCACACTTTTATTTCTCAATATAGAAGCGCACACAAACTGGAGATTTGTGTGGCCCAGAGTGGCACTGGAATGCTGTGGCGACAGCTTCATCCAAAGATTTTCACACTAGCACGTGGGCGTGTGTGTGTGTGTGTGTGTGCTGGATGTGGTGTGCAAGTGCATCAGCTGGACCATTGCTACGTTGGGATTTGGGCGGCACGCGAAGTGGACGGTGACGGCTCCAACGTGCTGGCCGTGACGGCATTTGTGGCTGCTGGTGTCTCTACGTTTAGATGCGGATCACACTCCGAATACGGCGGAGCCGGCAATGCAGCAATGCCAATGGCACTGGACTCCATAGTTGGCGTTGGCAGAGCTGCAGCGGCCGTGGGCGTTGTCAAATTGCACATACGCATCACTTCATCATAGCTGGGCAGCTCCTTGTCATCCTTTTCCAGCTGTTCGCGTATGCGTGCCGCCTCCTGGCTGTTCGGCTCAATATAGAATATATCGCCAAAGCGGTTGTGCTGGCGTCCAAGCTCCACATTGTTTTGGCGATCTGCAAGACAAGCATTACAGGCATATATTAGCATTATCTACGATCTATCCATAAATAGTTCAAGATTGTTGAGTTGATTCGTATACCGAGCCGTTGGCGCTGGCGTTGCCTTTGTCGATTCAACAACGTGGATTTGTGCATGCGCATAGCCAGCTAACGAAACGAACAAACAGAATAAACCATTAAGACCATGACTCGAAACACACAGATCTGCACATAATAATGACTGGGCACTATGATTACGTACTAAGATCAGCTGGACTACGGCGAATATGGCGAACAGGAAGCCCGCCGCCACCAACAAATTGGATGTCAAACTCATTCTACGTTCGGAACCAAACTCGACTGGGTTGTCATTGCCAAATATAATAAGTTGATCGTCAAATAACAATAATAATAGGCAGCTCAATGGTGCTGAGTGCTGAATGGCCAGCGATTAGATAAGCCCCGCCCTCATATTTGGCACACGTTACCATTTCGACTGCGATTGATTTGTCTTTGCCGACGTTGGCAGCGCGGCGGACAAATCTTTGCCAGGGTACGATTTTCGATGCGCACATAGAAGCAAACGATGGGCAGACAGCAGAAGAAGAAAAAGACCAGCGCCAAATAGACGGCCACATGGAGGCCAAACTGTGTACACCAGTTCATGGCCGATTCGAATTTGGATTTGAGACAAAGGAAACAAGTGCCGCAAACCGGCGCATACTTATTGCACGCCCGCAACAGGCAACAGTAGGCCGGGAACTAATCAAAGAGCCTATATACATGGATGACGTTATGTACTATTGATATAAGTATGCGTAGTTAGTTGTTTCTATTTAAGCGATAAGATTATGTGCACGCAACACGATAAACAAAGTTGCTAACCCGAAAGCCTTTATATATAGTGTATATGGCAGTCATGTGTTAAAGGCAGCTCACCTACACTACACACGCACGGCGATGCCACAAAAGCTCAGAGCACACGCAAAGCTCTCTAACCGAAAGCACACTAATACTAATACAGACACCAATACACAGCTGGTGCAGCTATACGCGACTTACTTTGGGGTCTGCTGCCATTGGCGCCGGCTGGACAAAAGCATTTGAGAATCCAGATAATCGCGCACTATCAGGAAAAGAGAATCGATTTACTCTGTGTGTGTGTAAAAAAATTGTGAATTTTCACCTGCAGCACTACATAAGATGTTAGGCCTATGAGCAAAAGTATTATGAAATAGAAAATTGGACCCGTTTCCATACTTCCCACTTGCAACAAGCTCCGCGGAAGACTAAAAATCAAGTGCTCCTATCAAAAGTGCTCACTTATGATAGGTACCAGGTTAACTGAACGCCTTATCAGATACACTTGAAGTGGCGCATAGTACATATACAAGGTCTAAGTAAAATCAACCAGCCAATTGTCTGCATATCAATTTTATTTTGGTTTTTTTCTTCGTTGTACATACCAAGCGAACGTTGCGCCCGAACACGTAGCTGGATATCCCGATTATTGGGCGGAGTTTCAGCTGGAGTGCGACAGCACTTGAATAATATAATCCAAACTATATACTTTAAAATAAGTAGAAGAATTCTGAGTTAAGTAGAAAAAAAAACTGCCAACAGCTTGCACCAATTACCTGTATGCAGAAATATACGATGGGCAGGGCGACAAGCATTATAAAGAATAGAAAAAAATAAAACATTAACATTTCACCCATTGTGTCTAAGCCCGAAGCGTATGAAATCCGTTGGCTTTGAAACGTCGAAAAGCACTGAATATTTTGCCCTACTAACGCCGAGAATATCTTATCAGGGGAAACTAACAAATATATATATACATATATGGGCTAAGCAGTTCAATAATATTTTTTGCCAAGAGCCAATTAATTACTTTATGTGCGTCTAAAGGAAATGGTTATGGTTATCAGAGTCAAGATTAAATAAAACACAGATTAGATTAGTTAATATATACAAGAAAGGAAATATCGAGAATATCGAGATCCTTTCATTTACATACCCTCGCGTGGCTGCCACAATTCGTAGCAGGCCCAGACAGCAAAGCGCAGGCAACAACAACAAATCGCACAGGAGAGGAAGAGCAGAAAAACGCCCGAGAATATGGACATAAGATCCAACATTTTCACATTTAAATATTGAGTATTTCGAGAGCTCCGGTAATCGAAGGATTGATTTGTGCGTCAATTCGCCCAGACACGATCGGATCGCATCACTCTGCGCAGAAGCCGATAGCCAACTGTTTGGATTTCCATGCTGCGCGCTTTTTGGAGAAACTTATCAGGTGGCAGGTGGCAGGTTCGCTCATCGCATCGCCTGATAAGACCAGGTTGAGCGTGATAAGATAAGATTTGCATCATTGCGTGCCATGCGTGGAAATTTCTTGCATTAACTTGCAGACAGTCATGGGCGGTAAGCCGCCTAAGAATAGCCCACATATATGGACAACCATAAATTAAGAGCTCGTCAAAGTAAAGACAAACAAGAAATTGAAATCCCAAAAAGCGCGGAAGCATTCAAGTAAATTAATTATCAGTGTGTGAATTAATATTGTGCGAGACACGGGCTAATTTATTGTTACACAAGCGCAATTAAGCCAAGCCAAAACAAAGACGCACATAAATCTATTGCGGACTTGGCCAAAACAAGCTACTTAAGCGGCCAGCTTAAAACAATTATGCCACAAAGGCGGCCAAAACATTTCTCACATGCTCCACAAATTTGAAATGTGCTTGGGAATCGAGGTATTTCAATGTCAAAGCTATAAATATATAGATAGCAGCTGCTTAAGCGCTTCCTTAAGAATAATAATTCAGTTCAATTGGTCGGTAAGTATTCCAATTCCAATTGGAACACTTGAAAAAGTGGCCAATAAGTAGCCAACTTGTTGCTTAAACAAAGATAATTTCGTTACTCGAATCAATTTTAAAGATGTTTATGTTCCACATAATAATTGGTCTAATCAGAACCAATGCACTTGGACCAGGAATGCCTGAATCCCCATTCCAGTTCTAATCGGACCAGTTTGATAGACACTTTATTTTCATTTGGCTGGCTTCCAATTTAATGAAACCTCACGATATTCTTTCTATTGCAAATGAACTCTATTTAATGTTGAATTCAATTTTTTCTGCAGTCTGATATGTGATATATGCACATTTTATGCCTAGAATTTGCCCTCGTTTTCCTTAAATAGGTATGTTATCTCAGATTATAATAGTGAAATCTTTGCACAACGCTGATAGCACCGTCTGACGTGAACAAAACAAATTGAAATGAAGCCGTCAAGAAGTTGCAAGGCGTATTTCATTTTAGCTTATGCCTAAACAAATTTGAGAAAGCTTCTAAAATAACAAACCCTATCTCGAAGCCCAAATTAGGCACTTTAACTGATTCAATGCAGTGGGGGGGGATTATTGTTATCACATCGCGATAATTTGCTGCGAATTATGAGAGAGCTCTGGAATAAGCCTCTTATCGACAAGGTTCAATTCACGGCGTATATCTCTCGCGCTCACCTGCGACCACTTCGGTGGTCGTGCCGGATGGATCGATCCGTATTTGCCGCAGCACCCTCGGCGGGCCACGCCCACGCTGTGACTGTGACATGGGCAGCGGGGGCTGATCGACAACAGGCTTGCGCATGGCGCAGACACAACACAGCTGCAAGAATCGCAGAAGATTAGTGGAAAACACACACGCACGGCGGAAAAACAGAAACCGGTGAAACTTACGCGCACCAAAATACACAAAATGACAACCAATATAAAGTATACTATATAGAGTGTGACATCGGCGGGCATTTTGGTAACGGAGTTGTGAATTGGCAACGATTTCTGTTCGACACGGGCAAGTAGCTATTTTATAATGGCAAATACGACCACAAATGGAACTGGGCAGGTAACGATCGATAAAATATGACTTGGTCTTATCAACGTGGGGCAAAAATGGTGTGTGCGTGATTAATAATATGTTGTATATATTTGTATTTAGTCATATTATCAGCTTATGCCAAATGTATGGACGAAGGGTTGACGGAGGAGGGGGGAAGAATTGTAAAACACATTAACGGAATTTAGACCTTTGGCTAGTACGCACCCGGTGAACTGGAGGCCCGCCCAGAGCGTTCCAACGAATCGCTGTCGCACTCCTCCTCCATGTGTTTGTTGTTGCGTATGCTCCTGAAGCACAACTATTGACAGAGTGTTAGAGCTTTGGGCGTCTCGAAAGATACATTTTAAGGAACTTACAACGGTCACCAAAAGCACCAATATAAATATATAGATCAAATCGTTCGGATACATCATGTCCGTAGAAACTGGCTGTCTGAGGCGCGAACACTGACAGAATTGAGAGAAATTCGCTGAACAGGTTTTAAAGCACTCGAGGAATAGCAATGTTTAGTGCCCCCCATAAGGACTGTTATCTTATCATCAAGCTTTTTTTTTTATATAAATGTTATTTGTTGGGGCATGTCGAGTACTGAAGCTTTGCGTGCTCGGGGAGGTGTCGGGGGGGAGTCGAGTGTGCTCTGTGGTTATTCTTACCCTCGAGTGCCAGGCGCAACATCATTTCACGGCGCGCAAAGACGCGCCTATTCCATTCGTCCAACTTCAGTCTGACAAACAGATAGCACTCCTTCAGATAGAGAGATGGAGAGAATGAGAGAGAGTGCGAGGAGTTGAGTGGACTCGCCCATTGTGGCAATCGAGGCGCAAGGCTTACCCGCAAAATGAGTGCGACTGCGATCCCAATGAGAATGCCACAGAACCAAAATTCCGTGTACATTTGAAATGTGTCTGTTCGTAATTTTGACAGTTTGATCTAATCTTTAATTGTGTCCGATTTTTGACTATTAAATTTAAAGCTGCTTAGTGTTTAGGCACTCACCAGGCTCAGCCTGATCTCGGCTGCAGGAGCTCCAGTGCCGAAACGGTCCCAAATACGTCTGATCAGCAGAGAAGCAATGCTATTAAAGGATTGCCAACCGAATTCAACGTAGCTTACCCGCAACAGTATGAATAGTATTAGCAAAAATGATATGAAATAATACCATTCCATAATATCCATTATAAGGCGAGCGTATAAAATATGCGCCCCGACAGCTGGGCCAACGACAAGTGAATAAAAATGAGGATGAAATCTAGATACCAGCGAGTTCCCGGGTTCAGTTACGATATAAAAACGAAGATAAGCGCACCGATTAGAGCTCTGCTGTATTACTACAGTTTATTCAAGGGGCCAGATATTTCTATATTTAGCTAATATCATTGTCTAGTTATCTGTGAAGCTTACCAGTTAAATCTTCCAGCGGCCGCATGCTCATCAACCGAGTTGTATCTGTTTTTGCCTTAATATAACCTTTAATTAGCAACTTTGAGAGTTTGTCACCTTAGGCATTTGGCCAAAGAATCACATCAATTAGAGCTCACCCAACCAATAGCAATTGTTATGATCAGAAACACAAGGCACAAGCTCCCAGTACGACCATCTTCGATACATTTTAAGAGCAAATCAAAGTATATTCGAACGCTCACTTGCATTTAAAGACTGATTGTTTGTTTATATATTTAAAATTGTATCAATTTAAAATAAATTTAGCTCTTGTTTGAGCTGATAACGCGCGTAGAATGGCTCTTTTATCTAATCTCAGCCAGGTGGGTTTGATTCAGGCCCAATCCTAATCTAAGCGATTAAAAGATAGACAAATAGCAGCTTGATGTATTTACAGAATGACTAAATATAAAAGTACACCTATCAGCTCTGATAAGCTGCGATTTGATATAGTAGTCCGATATTGATAAGAACTTGCTCATATGTAAAGAACATGCTATAGCTGGTAAATGTCAAGGTGAGTCAAGATTTCAGAAAGGAGGAACAGGAGCTTTTCTCTTCTACATATTTCTTCACTTAATTATACTAACAGAGACACATTTATTTTTGTGGTAGATCTGGTAAGCTTACCCACGGGTAATGCTGCTGATCTTCCATTATGCTGTCGCCTAGAAATTCGAGCTCTTTCCTTTCTTTGCGCTTTAATAACATTGTCGAGAATCTTTGAATGAGTAAAGTATATTTCTTAAATATTTAAAGACAATTTGACATAAAATCAGCTTACCCAGGCTAGGAAAATGGCGATTAATAAAATGAATAAAATTGTAATCCAAGCCAATGATTTTTCCATTAAAAAAAAAAAAAAAACAACAAAATGCAAAGCGAACCAAACGAACAACAAACTGAACTGAAAATCTTACGACAACTGAATTTTCTCTTGTCGCCGACTCAAATTAAGTTTATCTCTATTTGTCTAAGAAAAAAGCTCACCATTTGCATTTCTGGTCGCACTTCTGTTGGCTCTTTGCGGAGGCGCCTCTGCGGTTGAGTTAGCTTTTTGACAAGCTTTGGCAAACAACTTTAAGAAATTCAAATGCAAATTCTTATCAGAAATTGTGCGACCTTTGACAGTTGTGTAGCTCACCCAAATTAAAACAATTGTCATGAGGAAAATGCCGGAAAGAACATCCCAAATCTCCCCAGCCATTTCAAAGGCAATAATATATGTATAAATTCAATAAAAATACAATTGAAACAAAAAATGAAAAAACTAAGACAGCGACAAACTTCATTGACAGCCTTATGTCGACTGCCCGATTAGTGCGGTCGACCCACCCGTCTATCGCTTATTATTAATATTATTATCTAAACGGTATCAACGGTTCTTTTTTTAAGTTAATGGCTCGCTTAGGACTCTGGGCTATCTAATCTGTTTCGGGCTCAACTAACTCATAGGCTTATGCCCCACATGACCCAACCATAAGTTCAGTCGTATTTTTCGCGCTGATCTTGACAAACGCTTTAACCTTTTGAAAGAATGTCGGAACAATAATCAATGAAAAATAACTCGTGGTTTACAAGGCAGATAAAGCTTTATAGCCGAAGCAATAAACATGGCACGTGTCTTTCTTTTCAAAATAAAATTAAAATCGTTAGAAATAAGCCTTTCATTTTCGGTCAATAAAACTTTGCTGCGTAGTACTCGAGCTTAGCCCAAATTTAAGAATATATATCTCCTGCTCCGATTTGTCAGGCTCTTAGAAGAAAAGGCTTGCTTCGATCTAGATTTTTGCCACTCGCCTAGACTCAAGCTGTTGTAATCTTAAAACTTTATCTTAAGTGGGCATACACGAGTATTTACTCGAAGTTTCTCTTGTTTTCAAAATATACTGTTTTCCCCTTTTGAACGAGTATTAAAATGTGCTACAATTGGATGTTGCTTTGTATATTTATTTCTGACATATCAAAGTCTGTTGATGCGGATAACTAAACAATAACGTTTTTATGTAAATATATATGTAGAAGATATATATCTATATAAATTGTTGACTTTTAATGATATATAAATATAAATTGATTGGCCAATTAAGGACAGGGTATTTATTCAGCGGCAAGCTGAAGATGGTAGGTTTTACTCTTTTTTTTTAGCACTTAAAAACTTACCACGCCTTCTATTCCTATTCGTCTTGCGCACAAATAACGTTAGGGCCTTTAAAACATAGTATTTAGCAAGTAATTCAGCGAAGAGTGTTCGCATCAAAACTTACACAGGCGTAAAAGAAAATGCTGAGTACGAAGAGGAGCAAACTTATTAACAGGGCACCTAACATTTTTGCCTTTGGACTCAGTGCCAAAACAAATTAAACTGATACAAAAAAGTATTTTGTCAATTTTGCTGGCACTTTGTTAATACGCGCTCAGTCCGCCCTGTTGCAAATCTAATCGGTTGAAAAGACCAAACAAAACAAAAAACAAATAAGACTGTAGTTGTTGAGTGTGCTCGACTAGAAAATCCCCTGTAACTCCCAGTCATGATAATATCTTGGTTTTTTGCATTAAATTATTTGAGTTGAAAATTAAAGCCCAGTATTGAATTCCAGAATGTTTATGCAGCTACCTTAAAATATATATCACAATACCGGAAGTGTGGAAGTGTCCTAGATCGACATGGACGGAAAGAAGGACATGTAGTCCTTACTCTTACTTACTCCTTATCAAGAATGTGTATCTAAAATAATCGGACTTGGTTCCTTCTACCTGTTACATATACATTGTATTTTCATAAAACCATATCCCCTGTTACTAACTTGCAACAGGTACAGGGTATTGCTACAAGATAATTGCATTGCGACAAAAATAATTGGATAAATATCATTTGAGGTATTTGCCCTTATATAAAACCTTACTCACCCGACCTCCACACAGACTTCCTTCGCACTAGCACTGCTAAGCCCTTCAAAACAGAAGGATTATATTAAAAAATACATAATAATATTTACTTGGATCACGTGCATATGAAACTTACTAAGCAATAAATGAAGATCATGCCAATTATCAGGGCACCCCACATAGTTGTTAGTAAATGTTTTTTACTCTATGCCAATACAAATGTAACTAAAACAAGAATGTTTTGTCAATATTGTTGGCACCTTTCATTTACCAGGTGTATTGCCTTATCGCAAATTTAATCGCCAATATTATCATTAACCGAGTAAATCATAATCGTATTACACACACCTACAACAAAGCTTTTAAAGCTCTTGAAAGCTTCGAGTATTGCAATTAATCACGCTTAAAGTTCGACAAGTTAACACTGGTCTCCTCTCTCTTTGCTATTAAGGTGAAAGTACATAAACTGAGGTTGATAAATAAAAAGCTTTCTATACAAGTGCCTACACTTAAGCGGATCGATCTTATGACAGATATATGATATACTGATCCGAACCCGCAGATTTAGGCATTTATACTGGGGGCGATAGACTACGTGCTCTATCTAAATCAAGGTATATTTTATGGGATACTAAATAAAGATGTTTAAGAATATGTATTCTATAGAAAAACCCTACTTACATGAGTTTTCTAAATTACACACTTATTTCCTGACAAAATTTGAATATCCTTTAAGAAAAGGCTCAGTTCAAATACTTACCAGTATTCCTGCGACGGTTCGCACTCGCAACAGCCATGCACGCTATCTAAAAGAGAAAATATTTGAATAGATAATAATAGATAACATTGTTGAAATGTGCATAACTTGTACCTTTATAAATATAATAAATGCCAGTGTCAGAAACAATATGCATATGTAGAGACCTGTTGCCATAATTGGCACTGCAAATGGAAACTCTTGAGCTGGCCAACAACTCCTTTACAGCGGCAATTAGGAATCGAACTGAAGAGCTCCAAGCGAATGGATAGCAACAATTAAATTGGTTTTTTTTTCATTTTTTGTTATACGGAAACAAAATGCGAACGCGATAGGCACATTTTAATCGTACACAATTGAGTCTTATCGGTTAAATTAGTTATAACGCAATCCCCATCTTTGACAGCTCTAAAATTATTGCCGGAGATATGTATTTTTTAATTAAACGCAACTTTTTGTTTTAATTGAAATGCTCGCTGTAAAAGGTCACAGATTTGTTAACAGACAACATATACAGAATTCAAGTTCAGAGCAAAAACAACAACCACAACAACAATTGACCTATTTAATAAACCAAAAGCAATTACACTGAGCTCCGCAAATAATTATGGGGCAGCTGAAAAACATACTGAAATGGTAATGTGATGAATAATAGC